ATATATATACTATATATATAATATATATAGTGACCGAAAAAGGAAAATTACAGGACAATGTGATTTTAAAAAATATAATCTTACACACACACACATACACACACACACAAATGAATTTGCAAAGAAAAGAGACCAGGAGGATACACACAAGAGGCAGCTGGAGGAAGAGGCTTACTGTTTGCTCTAGGCGATTCTACAGTGCTTTTCCCAGCAGATATATATTCCTTTTCTTATAAAAAGAAATTAACCAATAACAACTGGGACCTCAGTGCATGAGAGGGCAAAGCAGAAGCCAACAGATGGCTGTTAGTAGACCTGCAGGAAGATAAACTGCACACGGGATCGGCCGCCCCCGTGGGGGGGAGTGGGCATCGCAAAATGAACATTGTTGGGAGTACTACGTGCTCTGGCTGACTTAGGAGATGTGATAACCGAGTCAAACCACTGTATGAAGCAGAAAGTAAGGAACTCACTTCCGTACGCAATTGACCCCAAGACATCATTGAGTCCACAGCCCGGCTGGAAATCACCCCCGTTGGGGTAGATGTCGATGTGGCCCACGGGCATCTGAATTCCGATGCTCAAGCCGAAGGAACGCGTGTAGGTGTGGAGGACGTCCACAAAGTCCGCGTCGTCAGGGGACAGCCTCCTGTGGATGTCCACCCCTTCAAACAGCGGCCCGGCAGGATCCAAACCTACAGCAGAAGAGCAAGCCAAGAGCAGCTGCATCGGGTGTGCAAAGTCCTGGAGTCTTGATTGAAAAGTAAATCTAAGTGTGCACAGAGAAGCCACCCTCAGAGCCAAGCCCCATAAATCTGGAACCGTGGGATGCCTGCGGTTGGAGGAACTTTTGCTTTCTTCTGAAGCCTTCACCTATCCTGACAACTCAACTGAGTCACAATGACATACAGCTCCAAGGAACCACAGACTGTCAGAACTGGAGCACTCCTAGAAAGAACTCGGGCTGGCTGTGGCTGAACTAAGCCAGCCGTCCCATCTATTCTGCCACTGGGAGCCTTCTGCAGCCTTAATGTAGCAGCCCCTTTACAGAATAAGCTACCTGCATCTTCTGGAGGGAGGACTCAGTTTCCCCAAACCGAGCTATTTGCATTTGGACTTCCTTTTCCCCTTCCTTTAGTTATGAATCAGGCCCAAAGGTGGATCGATGAGATTGAGGCAACGTGGGGGGAGGGGTGGGGGGGAGCGGACACGAGATACACTGAGGATCCATATCCCAGGCCTCCAAATTCCTCTGTTTTGCAGCAAGAAGGAGAAATCTTTTTGCCTGCAAACTTTCTGCATTAGACAGGCAAGCGGCAATGTAGAGAGAATCGGTTCTCACATTTGAAACAGCACAAATATCTCTGGGAGCTTGTTGAAAATTCAAATTCTACCATGTAGCTATAGAAAACTCTGGAAGGACACACAAGCCCCTGGCTACCTGTGTGTATGTGTGTTGGGCGAGACGGCAGGGAAGGGAACCGAGCAGATGGTAGCAACAATAAAAGACTTTCACCATCTTTTAATTTTGGAACCGCATGAATGTAAAACCATTAAAAAAAAAAAAAGGAATTTGCAAAGCATGAAATGCAGATTCCCCAGCCCCGTAGAGATCCTGACTGGCAAGCACCCCCAGGTGATGCTGAAAGGAGGTGAACTCGAGTGGAAAAAACTTCTCCCACCTTCAGCATCATCAATAAAATTAAACCTGAACGTCGTAATCCATACAGCGCATGTGAGATATTAAGAGATTAAGCGCTCGTCAGTGTAAATACCAGCTGCTATTGCCAAGCTCGAGTAATTATGGGAGCCAAGTTCATGCCCGCATAGAAGGCTTTCCGCCCTATGGACACAGAGAAAGGACCTGGAAAAAGCTGAGAATACAGTGCACTATAAGCGGTGGTGGGGCGGGGGGGGGTCTGTTGAGCCTGGAACAGGGGTGCCCAGCTAGGTGTGATTTTGCTCCTAAGGGGACACTTGGCAATGTCTGGAGACACTTTTGGTTGTCGCAGTTGCGGGGGGGAGAAGGACGAGGACGAGAAGCCCCTAGCGTCTAGTGGGCAGAGGCCAGGGTGGCTGATAAACATCCAGCAATGCTCAGGTCAGCTCCCACAACAAAGCATTAACAGTGCTGAGGTCGAGGCACCCTGATCTAGAAACACCACGTGGGAGAGGAGTTTAGACGGAGAACAGAGTCGTTAAAGGAGGAGATGGGCAAAAGAACCCACCAGATCCCAGCGCAGTAGAACCAGGGAGCACCCTGGTTCTGGCCTGACGGGGGTGATTTTAAGCCAAGCAATAGGCCAAGCTATTGGCTGGAGTGGACGGTAAGCTTATGAAATCCATCACTCACGAGAGCTGCGGCGGCTGGTAGAAGCAAGCGGGCTCCAGAAGAAGTTGAAATAAATGCATATGCATGGCCAAGGCAGAAAAGAAGCCCAAGCTGCCTGGCGGTTCATCCCCAGCCCAGGGCCCTCAAGAAGGATGGTACAAAAGCGGTGACCCCCCGGCACAGCCCACGATGACTCATTTCAGAGGCTGCCAAGGGCTACAGGACTGACACAGGCAGCCTCCCCCTGCCTCTTGCTATGTTTTCTGGAAGGAAAAAGAGAGAGAGAGAGAGAGAGAGAGAGAGAGAGGAACATTCTGCTTTGCAACCAATACAAGAGAAGAGCTCTTCGCCTGATGTGAACAAAAGTCTCCACCAGACGGTCGGTGCCATGGAAACCAAGCTGTGCTGTAGGAATGCAGGCAGCTGACAGGGCTTCTCGAAAGGATGGCTGGGGGGGCAGGCTGAACCTTCACCCACCCAGACTGACCCAGCCTGACACAGAGCCAGGGCTCACAGACTCTGGGGAAAAGTGGTACAATTTACTTTTTTTTTTAACTAGGGATGGGAGGGAGAGCTTGTCCCCTCCAAAAAAAGAAAAGGTGGAGAGCCAGCCCTTCTTCCATTCAGTCAGACATCTTCCAAGATGTTCTGTCCAGCAAATGGAAACCACACACGCACACACGCCCGGGAAAGCCTCTGCACTCGTCTGGCAGGGCAGGTCCCGCTCGGTTCCCACTGCTGGTTTATCTTCACCAAGAAGAGGCAGTGTGGCACAGTGGCCAGGGCAGGCTCTGCAACCCGACAGCCTGGGTCTGAATCCTGGCTCTGCTACTAAGGGTGTAAAATGTTGCACTTGTCATTTAAGCACTGGTTCCTACTACCCCATCCGCAAAACGAAGCCAAAAGGCCCCCTTTGCCCCACCGCAGCGTGTCTTGGAGAAATAAATAAACATTAAAAAATTTAAGAAAAAGAGAGAGAAGTATATGACCTCTTTCCTAGTGAGGCACAGAATTCTCTCAAAAGCCTAAGAAGGTAAAACTCTGGCAAACCCCCGTCCACAGCCCTGACCCAAGCAAGACTAGGGTTCAGGTGTCTCCCTGCTGGCCTCTGCATAGCAGCATCATGGGCCTTAGGACCCCACGCGAGCTACGGTCTGGTCCTTCTACCAGTTGGGACCACGTGGTTCCCAGACCCAGGGGAAGTCTGCGGACTGAGCTAGAAGAACATCCATGCCCCTCCCCCACACCGGACATGCACAACAGCACCCGTCAGGTGAGCCACATGCCCTCTGAGGTGCTGCTGGGCAACTGGACAGAGGGTACTTCTTCCCGCCGGGCTCACTCAGGCCCCTGCCCGCAGAGAAGGGCTGGAGGAGAGGACCATGCTCGGGACACGCAGGCCGCGTGCGGACAGCACGGAGCACTGATTAGCATTCGGTCAGCAAAGCCCCCATCTCAGCAGCTGCCACCCAAAGAGGCAGGGGGAAAGAACTGGAAAACTCTTCCCCAGCTCATTGCAGCTTTAGAAAGAGAATAAGGAAAGATCTGCAACCTGTCCTTGCTGCCCATGACCCTGGGCTGGCGGGGAGGGGGAGGGGTGGCTGGGGATTTGAATGAGCTGCAGTCTGAACACGGCTGGCCTGGTTCTGCAGCATCAGGCCTCTCACTGGGGGCCAGGAGGAGTCGCTCGGACGGTGGAACCCAGAGCGGCTCACAGCCCAACAGCGCTGTGCCAGCAACGGGTTAGCGAGCAGTCCTGTGCGGCCACACGATCACTGTCCGCCTGGATGATTAGGCTCCACAGTCTTGGTAAACAAAAATGAGGCTCTCAAGCTGTGCTAAATCAAGGAATTGGATCTAAAGGAGAGTGTGTGTATACGTGTGTGTGTGTGTGTGTGTGTGTGTGTACCTTAGACTGAAGCCCAGGGATGATTTGAGGTAAGCCAATAAAACTTTACAAATATCCATATATATTTAAATCTACCCCACTTGCTTGCTGCTAAAACCTGAAATTCTCCCTTTACTAAATTATTTATTAGCTAAGGACTCCCTTCTTCCCAAGTCCTGTTTTCAAATAAAAATACTGCCAGGAAAGAAATTGATCAAATCTTTCCTTCGAGGTGAGCAGCTGGGCCTTGGTACCTCGGAGGTGAGAGGGAAGCTGGGAGTGAAGACAAATAAAAGAATTCTGGAAGGAAGATAAAGGTTTAAGACAACAAATCTGCCATTAACTTCAGCCTAGGGGTAGCTCTGTTTACAGATTTGAGGA